GTTACATAGGGAGAGATCTAAGGCATTTGCGAAGTGGATTTGGTAGATTTTACTTGGTGCTGCATTTCAAGGAGGTCAGAACCTCTGGGTTGCCATGGTAATGAGAGCAGCTGCTCCTAAATTCATTTCCTGTCTAGTAATGATCCCTTCTCTTTCGTTTAAGCTAGACGCTCATCTGGTAACTTACCATGTGGCTGTCATTAGTGTTGCTGATTCTGCTTAGACCCTTGTCTGATCTTTTTCTCTTTTAGTTTTGGAAGATAGTTAACCATATTACAGAAAACTTGGAAAAGATTTTTAAAAAAGAAAAATCATCATCTACCCCAACACTACCTCACTGGCATTTTTTAAATTATTGAAATATAATTCACATGCCATAAAATTCATCATTTTAAAATATGCAATTAAACAATTTTAGTATAGTCAAAGTATACCTACAAAGTTCTGCAGTCAACACCAATATCTAATTCCAGAACATTTTTACCACCCCGGTGAGCAACTGTACTCGTTAGCAGCCACTCCTACTGTCACAGCCTCTGGCAACCACAAATCTACTTTTTGTATCAATAAACTTGTTTGTTCTGGACATTTCGTTGAATGGACTGGCTTCTTTCGCTTAGCATAATGTTTTAAAGATTCATTCATATTTTAGCATGTGTTGGTACGTCATTCCTTTGAATTGTCATATAATACTCCATTATATAGATGGTTACACCACATTTTTGTTGATCCATTCATCAGCTGATGGAAATTTGGGTTCTATCATCCATTCTGTTTATTTTTCGGAGAACACTTCTGACTCCACCATCTATTAAGACTTTGGCAATGTTTATGAGACAAAATAAATCACTTCAACTCTCAATGATACTAATAATCCTTATTTCATAAGGTTTTCTTTTTAATTTTCTTTTTTGTTTTTGTTTTTGAGGATTAAATGTAAAAAGTATGTACATAGTCTGGTACGTAAGGATTTCCTAGGAATATTTATGTCTCCCCATAAATTGCCTTCTTTTCCATTATGTTGTTCCCTGCCCTGTTGTACAACAGATTCCACTACTTCTAATGAGCACTCTTAGAGGGACATTTAAAATTTTTAATTTTCAGGAAATAACATGTAACCAATAGGAAGACAACACTGCTATATGTAAACTGAAACTCTTCCCGTGACCGTGGCTAACTCAAATGACAATCTCTTATAAAATCTCTGCCTCCCTCATTGTTAGTGCTGAGGACACAGGATATCTCTGTGTGTTGGTGCCAAAACACCACTTGAAGTTCATGGGCCAGTCTCACCTACCGCACTAGACTCAGAGTCACCATTCCCAGAACTTATTTACATATGTAAGTGTCTCATGTCCTCTACTCTCTGTTCAGTCTCCTCAGAAGCTCAGAAAGCTCTGTCTCTTATTAACTGTGAACTTCAATATCTTTGTTGCTTCCTCTGTGAAACACAGATGATAATAGATGAAAGTTCATAGTTATTGTTAAGTTTAAATGAGATAATGCCCACAAGTGCTCCACAGCACAGCTGACAGGTTGACCAATCAAAGAATGAATACCTGAGGCCTCACAAGAAAATAAAAGATAAATTTTAATTGCCTTCCCTCATTGTCTACTTTTTCCCCCTTCACTTACATACTATTTGACCCATTTCTATTTTTTATTAAAGTATAGTTGATTTATAATATTACATTAGTGTCAGGTGTACAGCATAGTGATTCAGTTGTTTTTTTCTGACTATATTCCATTATAGGTTATTTAGGTTATTATAAGATACTGAATATAATTCCCTGTGCTATACAGTAAATCCTTGTTTATCTATTTTATGTGTAATAGTTGGTATCTGTTAATCCAATACTCCTCATATGTCCCTCCCCACACCCTGCCCCCAACTTTGGTGACCTTAAGTTAGTTTTCTATGTCTGTGAGTCTCTTTCTGTTTAGTATATAGATTCATTTGCAATATTTTGTAGATTCCACTTACAAATGATATCACATAGTATTTGTCTTTGACTTACTTTACTAAGTATAATATTCTCTAGGTCTATTGATGTTGCTGCCAATAACAATCTTTTTTATGGCTGAGTAATATTACACTGCATATATATACCACTTCGCTTAAACTAATCATTTGTTGATGGACACTTGGGTTGCTTCCACGTCTTGGCTATTATAAATACTACTGCTATGAATATTGGGGTGCATATGTCTTTTAGAAATGGGTTTTTTGTTTTTTCTGGGTATATACCCAGGAGTGGGATTGCTGGATCATATGGTAGTTCTGTTTTTAGTTTTTTAAGGAACCTCCATACTGTCTTCCATAGTAGCTGCACCAATTTACATTCCCACCAACACTGTAGAGGCGGTTCCCTTTTCTCCTCACCCTTTCCAGGATTTATTATTTGTAGACTTTTTGATGATGGCCATTCTGAATGGTGTGAGGTGATACCTCATTGTGGTTTTGATTTGCATTTCTCTGATAATTACCACTGTTGAGCATTTTTTCATGGGCGTGTTGGCCATCTGAATGTCTTCTTCCTTGGAGAAGTGTCTATCTAGGTCTTCTACCCATTTTTTGATTGGGTTGTTTGTTTCTTTTCTTTTCTTTTCTTTTCTTTTTGATATTGAACTACATGAGCTGTTTGTGTATTTTGGATATTAATCTCTTGTAGATTGCATAATTTGCAAATATTTTCTCCCATTCTGTAGGTTGTCTTTTCATTTTGTTGATGCCATTTCTATTCTTATTTTTCTTTACAGAGAGGAAATAAGTTTCCTGCTAAGCCCTTGCACCAGTCTCCAAATTTCAGTCTCTGTAATTTTCTGTATTGCCAATCACTACCACTCGGTGTGTGCGCACATGCACACACACACATGCGCGCACACACACTCTGTTTGGCATCATATTTGATAATATTTGATACTTTTCTGTTATACAGGTTTGATTTCTACATTAAGAAAATTTATTCTTTTTCATTCTTATGTACCTAGCCACTTACTGTCACCTGTTCAGTTTCATTGTTTTACTTTAATAAATGTTACTATGATGAACCACCTTGTAGCTAAAGTTTGTGCATATTCATTATTATTTACTGAGACTAAATAGCTAGATTTTAAATTTCTTAATCAAAGGGCACCTATATTTTGTAATCTTTTGATAACACATTTGAATTGCCTTTCAGAGAGTTTATACTAATGATCAGCAAATATGACACTTCATTATCTATCTCATTCATCACCCACCAAAAGGAAGCAATATAATATTTGCTAATTTTATAAGCAAAGATAATCTAATTGTTATTTTGCCATATGAGTGAACATAAATTTATATACTGATTGAAATCTATCTATTCTGTGAGGAATTGCCTATACGTTTGAAATCCATTTTTCAACTGGGATATTTTCTTTGTTTTTTTGTAATGAATGTTAAAGATGTTGAATACTGAACTCTTTCTAGGGTTTCACGCTGGCTTCTCTAGAAGCATCAGAGGATCAATAAGCTGGTGATTGATTGGCTATCTTCTTTCTAAGGATTGTCAATAAGCTGTTCATAGGACAGAGTAGGGTATGTGTGAAGCACTAGCTGGTCAGCAATTCCCAATCTGAGAATAAAATGCTTGTTAACAAAGCAGGATAACATCTAATTTTGAGCAAAATTTTGAGGTGAATGAATTTTGCATTTACTTTCTTATACTAAAAACTACTTGCTGAACACTTTTCACCTGCCACTCTTGGAACTGGTTATCTTTGAGAAGGTCAGCCAAGTTTTTAAGCTTAATTCTGGTGGGTACTTCCAGCCCTTAGTGCTCATATACTTTCTGTTCAGTATCCTGCCCCAGTTTACCGACATCCCTCTGCCTTGGGTCCCATCTTCATAGGATATTTCCTTATGATCTTGAACTCAACTCTTAATCCAAAGTAACATACTTAAGAGTATTCTTAAACATTTCAAAACAAAAACATTTCATTCAGCAGACATTTACTGGGCTCCTGTTGTATGCCAGTCTTTATATTATCTCCTCTGTGTACCATATATTCATTCTCATAGAGCCATCCAGAAAATAGTACTTCAACCCAAAAGATATCAGTTGAACAATTAAAGACAAGCTGGTAAAAGAAATACTCAGATCAGGCAGGGTAAGGATGCAGGGGAGGGTAAACTTTTTTAAGTTGTTTTTTAAGCCTCATTAATTGGGCTTGCTCTATCTCATATTGGATTTGACAGTCCCTGCTACCGTGTGTTTTTTTGAGCTGGAAGGCATGATGGCTCTGATCAGTAACGGTCGGAGGAAGAAAATAAAATGATCATTTCTAAAGTCAAAGAGGGTCATGTCATTCCAAAACAAGCAGGAGAGCCAAAACTTACAAATAGCATTTGTTTAAGCAATAATGCTTGCCCAGTATATAAAAAAGACAGTTGTTGCCAGTGGGGTTGTTAATCCTACTCACTTGAGATATTAACTTGAGGAATCATATTGTTAACCGATCAAGTATCCATCTTGAAAATGTCTCCCCTGTGTTGAAATTGGCTGCATGTAGCATTGCAGGCTAAACTAATTCTTTTTTTTTTTTTTGCCATTTAGGGTTCTAAAATCCACCATACATTAAAGATTCTATCCAAGCTTCCATCCTCATACAAGAGTTGATGAACCAGGAGCTTTTCTAATAATAGAGAGCACTACATAAATGAAGTGTTCACTCCATAAGTTCTGTTGCTAATGAGATAAAATCACTCTAGATAAATAAAAGTGATTGTGCTCTCTTACAATTGATGATCAGGAGCCACCAACATCTTTCATATGGTGAGACTATAATAAATTAGTGTTGCTTTCAACTTGTGTAGGGTGCTTTCCTGAAAGTAAAAAAGTTATTTGACATTCAGAGGGGTTTTTTGCCATCTAACCTTCATTAAGTTTCTAACTAGTTCCACAAGAGGATTAAACCAGGAATGTCTGTATGTAAATGTCAGATTCAATTTCCCTTAAAGCTAAAGAAGTATCCCTGGGTTCCCGACTGGCCTCACGTGGATACTCATCTTCACTGTGGTGGGCTGCATCAGAGACATTTTTAAATAGTGCCTTGAAACCTCTTCCTGGAGGGGAAGGACAAAGGTTAAGGTTATTAATTACTAATTTAATTTCTTAATTTGATATAGGCCTATTCAGATTGTTGATTTCTTATATGAGTTTTGGCAAATTATGTCTTTCACTGAGTTGGTACATTTCATCTGTGTTATCAGATTAATGGGCTTAGTGTTGTTCATTGTATTCCTTCATCACCTTGGATTTTGTAGTAATGTCCTTTTGATTTCTGATATAGTTATTTATGTCCTCTCCCTTTTTTTCTTAGTTACTCTGGCTAGAAATTTATCAATTTTATCAATCTTTTCAATGATCAGATTTGGTTTAGTTAATTTTCTTCTTTTAAATTTCATTGATCGCTGCTTTAGGTTTTATTATTTATTTGCTTCTACTTGCTTTGGATTTCATTTGCTATTTTTTCCTAATGTTTTAAGGTGGAAACTTAAATTATTGACTTAATATCTATCGTCTAACATACAAATTCAGTGCTATAAAATTTCCTCTAAGCACTGCTTTCTTGGCATTCCACAAATTTTGTTAAGTTGTATTTTCATTTAGCTCAAAGTATTTTTTTATTTCTATTGAGATTTCTTGTTTGACCCATGTGTTATTTAGAGCTATGTTGTTTGATCTCCAGGTGTTTGGGGATTTTCTAGCTGTCTTTCTGGTTGCTTTCTAGTTTAATTCTTTTGCGATCTGAGAGCAGGCTTTGTATGATTTCTATTCCTTTTGTTCAGGTATTTTGTTTGTTTGTTTGTTTTTTCCCCCAGAGTATGATGAATGTTCCATGTGAGCTTGAGAAGAATGTGAATTCTACTCTTGGATATAGTCTATAGAGGTCAATTATATATATATATATATATATATATTTTTTTTTTTTACGGCTCTTGAGTTTAACTCTTTCTTTCCAATTTCTGCCTGCTAGATCTGTCCACTTCTGATAGAGGAGTGTTAATGTCTCCGACTATGAATTTGGATTCATCTATCTCTTTGCAATTCTTTTTTCCTCATGTATATTGATGCACTGTTGTTAGGTACATGCACATTAAGGACCATTATGCCTTCTTGGAAAATTGACCTCTTTATCATTATGTAGTGCCCCTCCTTATAACTTTCTTTGCTCTACCATCTGCTTTGTCTGAAATTAACATAGCTACTCCACTTTCATTTGATTAGTGTTAGCATGGTATATATTTCTCCATCCCTTTACTTTTAATCTATATATGTCTTTGTATTTAAAGTGGGTTTCTTATAGACAGTATATATTTGACATTCTCTTATCTTTTAATTGTTGTATTTGGGTCATTAATGTTTAAAGTCATTCTTGATAAACCTGGATTAATAGCTGCTATGTTTGTTACTGTTTCCTGTTTGGTGCCCTTTATTTCCTATTTTTGTCTTCTACTATTTTTCTGTCTTTTGTTGTTTTAATTGAGCATTTTATATGATTCTTTTCTCTTTTTTTAACATAAGAATTAAACTTCCTTACTGTTTTTATTGGTTTCCCTAGAGGTTGCAATACATGTTTATAACTAATCCAGGTACATTTTCAAATAATGCTGTACTGCTTCATATGTGCAAGTACCTTATAAAAACAAAACAAAATATTCTTAATTCCTCCCTCCAGTCCCTTGTATAATTGCAATCATTCATTTCACTTACACATATAGTATATGTATATATATGCATATATAATAACCTACATTATAGTTATTATTATTTTTTAATAGTTTTCTGTTAGATAAATTTAAAATTTAAAAATTAAAATTTTTATTTTACCTTCAGGGACTGCCAAACTTTCTTCCATAGTGGTTCCCATTATCTTAAATTTCTACCAGTAACTCATAAGAGTTC